ACCAAGACCTCGGCTGCGCCGCATTGCGCGGAGAACTGCAACAAAGCCTCGGTTTTGTGCTGTTCTTCTTGTTCATTCTTTAGTGCAGATAGGTTTCTTCAGCTCTCCTTGAGTTCTGTAATGCCGGTACATAAAAGGCCGGGAAGGGCTTGGAAGGAAGGAATGACTTGAGGTTATAGTGTGTGTGCGAGATAGAGACTAGAGAGAGGGATTGTGAAAGGTTGAGAGCTCTGCCTGTTTTTCCTCTGTCGTTGTTTTTTCCCCCCTTTTTGAGGGCTGTTCAGGAGCTCAGTTTTAGCTGTTGCTTGCCACCTTTTGGCGTTCGTTTCTGCCGAGGAGAGACTGCATTGAAAAGCAGCAGCAATGCTACTGTTCAGGAGAAAAAGACTGCTCCTTGCATCTGCAGGCTGTGTGATTCTCATGCTTCTCACACCAACCCATGGTGGCTCAAATTCAGAGCAGAGCTATAAGATGGCTCAACCTTTGGAGGTAATTTCCATGCCCTCTACTCCTGAGCTACCAAAGTTTTCCTGGCTCTGTTCACCTTTACTAGATTATGAGTCTCTGACAGTACACCTGGATTGATCTTGCAGCTCACACCCAAGCTCTCGTTGCAGCTCAAGCTCCATGCCTTCCTGCTCTGGTCTTCGGTTGGCTTCCTGATGCCGATAGGGGTGCTGCTGATCAGAGCCTCCAGCAATGTCAAAAGCGCCAGAAACGTTAGGCTCCTCTTCTACTGCCACGTCGCTTCCCAGGTCTGTCCGTGACATGAACTCCGTCTCCTGCAACTGCAATCGCCATCAGAAGGCATGATACTCACATGCAAAGCATCCGGACATCGTCGCAGGTCGTCGCCGTCGCTCTCGCCACCGCCGGCGCGGTGCTGTCGATAAGCAACTTCGAGAACGTCTTCAACAACACGCACCAGAGGATTGGGCTGGCGCTGTACGGCTTCATCTGGCTCCAGCCGCTCGTCGGCTTCCTGAGGCCGGACAGGGGGGTGAGGACGCGGAGCGCGTGGTACCTGGCGCACTGGTTCCTGGGCGTCGGCGTCTGCGTCGTCGGCGTCGCCAACGTCTACATCGGCCTGCACACGTACCAGGAGCGGACCGGCCGGAGCGCGCGGCCGTGGACACTGCTGCTCACCGTCGAGGTGGCGGCCTTGGCGTTCGTGTATCTCGTCCAGGACCGGTGGAGCTACGTGGTGCGGCAGCAGGAGGAGGACGCCGCCGCCCTCGGCGACGAGCGGAGCGAAGGGTCCACCATGTACCCGGCGAACGATCACAAGGAGGTCGTCGTGGTGCCGTAGTCGCCTTGCTGACTCGTGACAGGTCCCCACCCCAGATTACGCTAGTTTAGCCGACGACCCGTCGAGCGGATGGATTGGAATTATGCCGTCTTTGGGAGCTTGTATTTGTACAGGTTAATAGAAAGGAGGTGATGTGTTTGAACGAAGAACAACCTGAGTTGGGTTGTTTTTCATTTCAACTCAGAGTCTCTGAAAGATAAGAGTCTCTTTGGAAATCAGGATTCTGGAGACAGAGAAACAGGAAAACATAGGAATTAAATGCCCTAGTATCTTGATTCCTATTGATCGAACAAACACAGAAAATTGCAAGATCAGAATGTTTGGACGAGGCACATGAAAAACACAAAAATTCGATAAGAGAGAGCGACGTAAAGGTTCCATGAGGTTCAATTTCTTGGTAAAATTCCTTTAAATCTTTATGAAACAAGCAATTCCATAGAAATTTGATAGGATTTATTCTTCGACAAAAAGTTGATAAGGGCTTGATAGAAAATTTTCTATAGGATTCCAATCCTATAGAATTCCTACATTTTTTCTCTGTTTCAAAGCAGGCCATGTATAGGTGCCCATGAGTGATTGTCAATATGACTTGCGTCTTGGGTTGAGTCGGTGAACTAATTATGACGTGATTTGGATTATGCAACCTGTCTTTTGCCTGTGGTGCGCAGGTGTGGAGTTCGGAGGCGGTGGTCGACGGTAAGACGAAGGTCAAGTAGAGAGACGTACCGTGCCAATCGACTGAGAGTGGTAAGCACGGACGCAAGGCTTGCACCGAGGGACAGGATGTTGTCGACGACGGAAGGGTGCGTGTCTAGGGGGAAGGAGAGGGAGATCACCGAGAGCGACTTCCAGATGTCCCGCCAGGCGCGGGAGAGCGCGGAGGTACGCACGGCGTCCCGGAGGTCGAGGCGGACGAGGATCTCGTCCTGCATCGCTGCCGGGAGGATGGAGAGCCGGTCTTCAGCCGCCGCCACCCGCTTCGGCTCCATCACGCCTCCAGTCCCAGATTCTCCGTCTCTTCGCGAGGCAGCTACTCCAGGCAGAGGCCGCCGCCGGCGACGACTCCCTCTCCACTCGGTCTCCCCCTCCCTGCGTGCGTCGGCGCCTCCAACAGTCTAGCCTGCTAATGGCCCATTTCTCTTCGTGCGGAAACAACAGCAGCTGGGAGGCCCGGCCCATTCGGATTTGGCCCATTTCTTCCGAACAATCTCAACGCTTCCGCTCTTGAATCCGCCAACAAGAATCCCGAAGTCAACGACCACGGCCGATATTTAACTTTTTACCGTTATTGCCACCTCTTCAGAGAGCACTCTTAAAATTGTTCCTATATATTTACTATCAAGAGAGAAGAATTAATAACTTTAAGTCATTTTTGCATGCGTGGCAGGACACGTAGGGAAGCCAGCGTGTCTGTGGGATGCGAAATGACTTTGTTACCCCTCATCTATTTCTTCTCCGTCCATCTCATCCTCATCATTTGGTAAAGATGCATCCCGGCCTACGCGCCTCTCAGCTCCGCCTCCTCCCCCCTCCCAGACGCGAGCAGCAGCCCGGCGAGCACGAGGTCTGCGCACCACCCCAGCTAGCAGCGCAGCTCTGATGGCGAACGCAGGCACGAGATCCGCCGCGCGTGGGCTCTGCCGCCGGCGCGGGCTCTACCGCGCGTGCGTCCCCATCCCCGGCGTACCTCTCCCATGGTCGGCCACGCGAGGTCTAGCTCCTCCCCTTCCGGTCGCTACTCCCCCATCCCCAACGGCGCGTGCGAGGTCCGGCTCCTCCCCTTCTGGCCGCGCGAGCTTCTAGGTCCGACGAGGTGCCACCATGTTCGTCGCCGGCGGGGAAAGCTGGCTCGCTAGTACCGGCAGTGACCGCGCACGAAGAGACGCGGCGCAGCTCGTCTATGGGTGGGGATGCGCGTCCTCCACCGGCGAGGAAGCAGAGGAGCACGAACATGAGGAGGCACGGGCCCGCCATGTTCGTCGTCGGCGCCGAGGAGGTCGTGCTCCTATGCGTGCTCCAGGTGCCGCCATGTTCATCGCCGGCGTCGGGCGCGGCCATGGACCAGCAGGCCGTGGCCTCGGCTACCTCGCCCCCAACTTCCCCTATGTTCTGTCAGCCGCCGCCATGGACCCCATCTTCGACCATGGCCGGAGTTCGAGCAAGAAAGGGATAGGGATAGGGATAAAAGAAATAGATGAGGGGTAAAAATGTCATTTCCATTGACGGGTCTACGCTGATCGAGTTGATGTGGCACGTAAAAAAATAGAAAGAATATATAAATGCACTCTCTCGATAAATACAGGTGACATATTAGGCCCCGTTTGGCATGGCTCCACTCCTAAACTCCAGTAACTCCATCAAAAAATCCAGCCAAACACCCCAACTCCAAAACTCCATGGAGCTGCTAACTTTATGGAGCTGTAGTGCAAACAGAGGTGGAGTTTTGGAGCACCTCTTTTGCTGCTCCAGAACTCTCTCTTTTGAACCTCCTCGTAGAGTTGGTGTGTAATTACCCACCAATGCCACTGGTTACACAGAAAAACGTTTGGAAGCGTGCCATCTTCTATTCTCCGAGTCCCCCCAGCGCATCTCATTTTCCCCATACCGAGCCTCCCTCTATCCTCTTCTCGCGAGACCGCCCGTTAGGGTTTCCGCCGCCGCCAGGGCAACGGCGGGGTAGCGAGGTGCGGCTGCGCGTGGAGGCGAGCGCGGGGAAATCTGGCCAGCGTGGAGGCAAGCTCGGAGCGGCGGGGTGTGGGCGCGTGTGAAGGCGAGCCGGGGGCGGCGGGGCAGCGAGGTGCAGCCGCGCGTGGAGGCGAGCGCGGGGAAATCTGGCCAGCGTGGAGGCGAGCTCGGGGCGGCTGGGCGCGGACGCGTGTGAAGGCGAGCCCGGGGCGGCGGGGCGCTTGCTACCGGAGATCGCAGTACTGGGGCGGGGCCGGGCACGCAGACGCGGTCGGACCCTCGCGGGAGCGGGGCAGACTGTGTCGGGGCGGAGCCTCGCCGGCCAGAGGGCGAGCTCGTGGATCCCGCGTGGCCGGAGGCTAGTCAGGCCGGGGCGACTCGCCGGCCACAGTGCGGGCGGGAGGCAAGGCCGGCGATGGTGGGGTCAAGGGGCGAGGCCGACCACCGGTGGTTCGGTGAAGGAGAAGAGAAGAAGCGTCACGATGGGAGAGGGACGACGAAAAAATTAGAACGATCTGTGTAAGCGGTGGTTCGTAATATGGCTACATCCATCGCCCTAACATGGAATTAGTGTAATAATTATTGTAACAACCTTATTTTAGAACTATGAACTTATTTCGTAATTTCGGTTCTAAGCAAATGACATGTAATTTATTATTATTTTGGACTCCACTGCATGTACTTTTATTTTATATTTGTGAGAAGCATTTTATATTTGTGAGAAGTAGTTCAAGACGAACCATAGGCAAAAATGGCAATCTACCCTCAAACTCATCTTTTCTGGAGCTGGGGACACCCTCTCAGCCAAACACCATCATTAGATAGCTCCAACTCCACCCAGAGCTAACTCTACGTGGAGTTCTGGAGTGAGCAGCTCCACCAGAGTTGAAGTCACGCCAAAGGCCTAAATATCCACTGGTCGAGCGCTCCTCACAGAATCTGCGCTCCGCCTCCACTATCCGAAGCCTCCAGCCTCCCTCTCGATTCCACCTCCAAGCTCCGATCCATGGCGTCTCACGATCACCACCACTCCCACTCCCACTCCCGCGACCACGACCACCACCATCCCCACGGGTGCGCGCGCGTGTGCCATCACTCTTAGTCTTCCGCGATCTCGGTCGCTCTCTGCACATCTGATGCGACGCACGCTTGGTGTGGTTTTGCTGCGCTTTCAGGGACGGCGGTGACCATGCAGCGGGGGGATCGTGGGTAGGGGAGGACGGCCGCGTGTGGCACTCCCACGACGGCCTAGCGCCCCACTCCCACGAGCCCATCTACTCCCCCGGCGACTTCACCAAGCGCGCGCCGCCGCTCACCTCGCGCAACTTCGCTGACCGCGCCTTCACCGTCGGCATTGGCGGCCCCGTCGGCACCGGGTGAGCTCGGCTGCTTTCTACTACTTGCTTTTACTCCTTCCAATCGCTGGTAGTCTACATCTCATAATTCCGGCGCGGTTATTTGGCGGAGGCTGTGAAATTGCGACGGCCGGAGAAACGCGTCTCCACTGCATTCGTGTTGAAGTTGTTTCTTAATTCCTACTTGCACGCAGCACCGGTGCAAATTTCAGATTAGTCTTTAGGTTTGTTTTTTATGGAAGCTGCTGGACGTCGTTGGGATCTTTGTCGATAAAGCGCTTGCCTGTGTTCATACCCTTTCATTGACTTTGTTCCTGAAGCTCCATCCTGACATTTGGAGTGGTTAGTTGATGTGATTAATTTGGAACATTGCATGTAAGCACACGTTCATGTTGTAGCCTGAATAACATTCTATTGCTGAAACCAACAAACTTCGTTGTCTATGCATTGACCAGCTACATTTACAGTTATATGGTTCCTAACACTTCTATGAACATTTTTCCTTATTCAGGAAAACTGCCCTGATGTTAGCATTATGCAGATTCCTACGCGACAAGTATAGTCTTGCAGCTGTATGTGGCATGACTCTGCCCTCTGATTCTTTTACAGAAGTTATCTAGTTTCCTCACCAAACTGAAAATGCAATGCTACATAAGATTTTCTGCATGCCCGGTCATATGATTTCAAGATGTCCATCTATAATGTAGTGCTTCAGTTTTGCCCCTGCTTCTGATCTTCAGACTTTTCACTTGTAAAAGTAGGTCTTATTATCACATTTCTGATAATTCAACTTAAACCAATGCATGTTTCCCTGTCTAAATCAGTGATTACCTGTGCGCTGCGCTGATATTTTTTTTGCACTTTTCTTCTTGGATCATTTTCCAAAGCATAAAATATACACAATGGGTTTTTTTCTATTTGTTCCCTTCATATTCAGGTCACAAATGATATATTCACAAAAGAAGATGGAGAATTCTTAATCAAACATGGAGCTCTGCCTGAAGAGCGCATACGTGCAATAGAAACTGGAGGTTGCCCTCATGCGGCTATTCGTGAAGATATCAGCATAAATCTTGGTCCTCTTGAGGAGCTATCGAACTTGTACAAAGCTGATTTGCTACTCTGTGAATCTGGGGGAGGTATATTTTTTACTGGATCCAAACTAAACTTAGGTCATTCCTATTGTTATGGATATATCTGTATCAACCTATGGTGTGTTTTTTACTGGATCCAAACTAAATTCAGGTCATTCCTATTGTCTTGGATATATCCATGTAAACGTACCTATCCATCTAAATGTTATTTTAGAGTAATGTTAGTTTCTACTGGGATCCAGGGGCAGAGCTTTGCTGAGGCCAACATTGGCCATGGCCTCCCTCTCTTTTTGCAAACTCCACTAAATGTACACACTATCAGCTAGTTAAGCTTTGGATTAATCTATCTAGCTGTTTTGGCCCTTGCTCAATTTACGTGCAAGCTCCGCCACACGCTGGGATCATGCTGCCTCTCTGTCTGTCTCATGTTTGATATTGGACATGAGAATATGCTTCTTTCAAGTTCGTGCATAAAAGAAAATTTTGCATTCCTGTTCTACTGTTTTTTCCAAAATAGTGTCCTGGGTTACCTTTCTTTTCCAAAACTCAACAATCCAGCATTAAAGAGCACCATTGTGCATTTCCCATGCAGATAACTTGGCAGCTAACTTCAGCAGAGAATTAGCAGACTACATAATCTACATTATTGATGTCTCTGGTGGGGACAAGATACCAAGAAAAGGTGGCCCTGGTATAACACAGGCTGATCTTTTGGTGCGTCATACTGTATTTGCCAGCATCATTTATAACCGTGTGCACTTGGCTTCATTTGTAACTACGTGAACCTATTTTGACTTTTGGCACACTGGTCATATTTTACTTGGCTGGCATAAAATTCCAACTTTTCTGAACAAAGGTAATAAACAAGACAGATCTAGCACCTGCTGTTGGAGCTGATCTGGCTGTAATGGAACGAGACGCCCTTCGCATGCGGGAAGGAGGGCCCTTTGTGTTTGCGCAGGTTCAAGATCAAACTATGCACATCTTTAGTATTCTTCATTTTTTCTCATGACTTCATGCTAGTTGCAAGGAACAGGGTTGCATTTTCAAAGACATTTTACTTTCACTGAAACCAGTGATGATGGCATCTTTATATAATAATTATTATTATTATGCAGGTGAAACATGGAGTGGGCGTGGAGGAGATCGTGAATCAGATTTTGCAGGCTTGGGAAATTGCGACTGGTAATAAGCGCCGATAAGATCTCGTGATTTGGCCATATGTTGGATGCAGATTTGGATGTGGATCTGGTTGACTCGGCAATTCCACATGCATAGACCATCTGCTGGTTTCTCAATAAAATTTTGCGTCATTTGGTGCTAATTGTACTTGAGAAGTAGAGACATGGAGTCTTAAAATTCCATCCTTGGGTTAAATGGATATTCGAGATCTCCTTTTCTCTCAATAAATTTTGCATCATTTGTTGCAAATTGTACTTGAGAAGTAGAGGCATGTAGTCTTAAATTCCATACTTGAGTTGAATGGCATATTCGAGATCTCCTTTTTCTGTTTTTATAAACGCAATACAGACGTCGACGTTCACATAGGATGCACACAACAATCTACCCTATGCGCCTGAGTGAGCTTTGAGAATTCGGTATTTCTGTAGCGTTCTGGACTACGAGTGGGAGATTCAATCGCCTGCAAGGTCGCTCGGTGAATGCTATGAATGCTGGCATGTTGCAAGGCCGTTCAGTGAAAGTTCTGAATTTGGAAAGGAAAAAATACGATCGACTCCGCTGGGGACATCTGCAAAGTCGCGCATTGAAAGATATGGAGACTGATTGGGTGGCTTCCAATTTTTTCCACCCCAAAATCATGGTTAAGCTAAAAAATTTAGTCACCCAAAGAATTGGCACACCAATGCTTATGGTCAAAGTTTTGACAAGTTTATAGAACCTTCTTAAATTGTACGAGAGAAAAGTGTTTTCTATCATTTCTATGGCACTCAACCAATTGTATTTATTATTTTTTCTCTAGCTTTGGCAAACCTTGATTTTAGCAAGCCTCAGTTTTGGTTTACCATAATTTTGGTTAGGCAAAATTTAGAAGCCAACCAAGCCCATGAATGCTGCAAAGCCGTTGAGTGAAATTTCAGAATTTGGCAGAAAAGAACGAATACGAATGCAGCAAGGCCGTTCTGTGAAAATTCTTAATTTGGAAGACAAAAATTTTGAAGGAAAGAACGAATGCTGCAAGGTCGTTGAGCGAAAATTCTGAATTTGGAAGACAAAAATGAGAATAGGAACGACTCCGCTGGGGATCGAACCCAGAATCTCTGGTTCCGTAGACCAGCGCCTTATCCATTGGGCCACGGAGTCACTGATGCTGTTAGCAACGTTGATCGGAAAAAATAAGATTGATAGGTTGTTGTTCTAGCCTGTCCATATCATGGAAACTATCGAATATAGCACTGTGTATTTGGAAATTTAAAATAATTTGATGAATACATGAGAAAAGGTATTTCACTTGAAAGCTTATTGAAGAATTTGGAAAAATTAGAAGAGAGGAGACCTAGGTGAGAGCTAATATGTAGGTAGCTAATATTAGTTGTGAACTATTAACCAGATCATTCCTGCTAGTGCATCCAAAAAGGACCTAAGGTGGGATTGCCGCTCCCCTTAGAATCGTATAAATAGGAGGTCCTTTTTCTTTTCATTCCACCTCTTGGTGGTTAAAACATGTTACATAGGCTGTCGGGCTAAAAAGCCACCCTTACACCAAAGGGTGCAGGCACAATTTTTGGGGGGTGTTCAAACAATTCCTATTTCTCAACATATACCAAAGATGAATTGGTTTTTGTACAAAGCATTGGAATCTCTGTGAACTTTTCTAGGTAGAGAATTTTCCTCAGCACAACACAAACGAAAGAGTCGGATTTGCATGGGCAAGATCTCATTTGTATTGCACAAACGATGTTCCCACAAACCCAGCACCTATCTGAAGCTTATTGTGAGTTCGACAAGATAACAACACTTGCAGATGAAGAAGCACATGAAAATTGGGGTCTTACAACTTCCATTGATTAAGGTCCAACTTCTATGACGCCATTCCCTTCGCACTACTCACTGCCACGGCAAAAGATAACGTAGAGAAAATGCAAGAGTTGATGCATCTCTTGCTTTCTTATTGACAGCTCAAATTTGCTCAGAAATGGCAAGGTATTCCTAGCTGCTACTAGTGACGCTATTCCTAGCCACTAGTGACGAACTGTTCTCAAGTTTTCAGAGACAATTCTTGGCGAAAGCCCCATTGCTTGTGCAATGCTTCTCACCTCAGCAATCATTGCCACAACGTCGTTGAGTTTGTTAATAGCAGAACCGACTCCCTGCAGTCAGAAGAACAGAACTCGGTTCTTGTAAAAATCACATTGCTTATATCTTTTAAAGAAAAAACTTCAAGTATAGTGCATACAACTCCAGCAGCTCCTGCAGTTACTGCCATTGGTGCAGTCACCGAACTTAACCCTGACGAGCACATCACTGGAATGCTGACAGCCCGAGAGATGGAGTATGCTGCGGCGAGTGTTGGTGTTGCCTGCAATTACAAACACTATGTTGTAATTTGATACAATGAAGGAACCACCGAATGCAACATGCCCTCTTTTTTGTCCTAGTTTCACTATACCTTTTCAATCAATCCATGAACTCCAGGCTTTGTCGGGCTAGAACATTTTCCACCCTCGGTTTGGATTATATCAGCTCCTTCCTCTTCGAGTAGCTCTGCAAGTCTCATCTACAAATAAGAATCAAAATTAGCAAGACTAAAGCATGTATCAGTTATAGTGGTTACCGAAAAGTTGTGTCTTAAGCAAGGTTGTAAATAGTGGCGATATGACCTTACAGCACCGAAATCCAAGCTTGCTGGCAACATTATTGAGGGCAAAAGTAGGGACCTGACCACGCATATTTTTGGTTGCACGTATAGCCCAGGTCATAATCTTATAGGCCTCATGCTAGAAGAAATGAGGAACCTAAAACGAGCAAAGGTACTCACAAATTTTCTCTATGCTCATCCTCTTGTTCTTAGGTTACTGAGAGAGTATATGGGCAAAGATATAGTTCATTCACGTGTTACATGTTTTGCGACTGCAAGAAGTTGATTAGATCTGATGAACTATGATTGGGGTTACTTGAAAAGCAGTGAAGGAGACAGAGGTGATCAAATAGTGAGTTGTGACTTTTAAGACTTCGATTTGATGTGCTGTTAACCTGTCATGTTGGAATGAAAAAAAGGTAATATTAATGAAAATTAGAAATATATTTTGACATTTATCGTCTGATGATATATCCCACTATACCGCTAAATGTATTGTCAAACCGGCACAATAAGTGCCGCTATAGGCTGTCTTAAGGTTAGTGATTGGGGATGATGATATACCTGGTCTGGCAAACTAAGTGTGTGAGGAACTGTTACTGATAAAGTGATGTCTGGAAGCATCTTCCTTGTTTCCCTTGTCAGCTTCAGTATCTGAAATTGGTTACACCAGTAAATTTCTCTCAATATTCAACTTTTGGAGTATACTTAAATAAAATAGCAAATTTAGCAGCTCTGAATAGGTCAGGTTAGTAAGAACCTGCTCAGAGGAGAACTCAATGCCCATCTCATAAAAAGAATCATAGTTTCCAATCTCAACCTGAAAGAAACAAGGTTTAAGGGGCCAAATATTTGTTATAGAAAAATGACTTTCTTTTCAAATTTTTGGATAGTTAGCAGCTGAAGTTTAGTGCCTGACCATTTTAGCTCCTGCTTCTACTGCAGAATGGAACGCTGAAGGATCTACAGATGAGACACAGATCTGCAATATGCAATTTTTCCCAGAATGCACTTAGTGGACGAAAGCCAGGCGGGAGTAAATAGGAAACTAGAGTTATGGCGGTAGACCCTTGAGTCTAAAGGTTTTAGATTGAACAGAATTAAAACCGAATACATGAGATGCGACTTTGACAGAGTTGTACAGGAGGAGAGAGATGTGAGTTTGGAAGGTCAAGTAGTGCCTAAAAATGATACCTTTCGGTATCTAGGATCGATACTATAGAAGAATGGAGATATTGATGCGGACATTAGCCATAAAATCAAAACAGGGTGGATCAAGTGGCGACAAGCTTCTGGCATTCTCTGTGACAAGCGGGTACCACAAAAGCTCAAAGGCAAGTTCTATAGAACGGTGATTAGACCGGCTATGTTGTATGGAGCAGAATGTTGGCCTACAAAGATTCGATATGTTCAACAACTGAGTGTTGCAGAAATATGTATGTTGTGATGGATTTGCGGTCACACAAGAATGGACCGAGTTCGGAACGATGATATACGTGATCGCCTAAAGGTAGCACCAATTGAAGAAAAGCTTGTCCAACATCGGTTGATGTGGTTTGGCCATGTCCAAATGAGACCTCAAGAGACACCAGTGTATATTGGAGTTCTAAGCCAAGCTAATAATACGAGGAGAGGTAGAGGAAGACCAAAATTAACATGAGGGGCAATAAAAAGAGATTTGAAAGCTTGGGATATACCTAGAGATCTATGTTTGAATAGGAGTACTTGAAAAACAGCTATTGAAGTGCCTGAACCGTGACTTAGGACTCTTGGTGGGTTTCAACTCTAGCCTACCCCAACTTGTTTGGGACTAAAAGGCTATGTTGTTGTTGTTGTCGTTGCACTTAGCACAAGTGCACAACCAACTCTGATGCTAGGCGAAACCGTAATGGCAATTACAACCACAGGTTCCAATCACCCTATGAATGAATAGCTTACCGGAAGGTTGGTAAGATCCATGGCAAGCTTTACTAAGTCCTTGTCACATGCTATGTCAACATGGGTTGCACCTCCCTGCAGTCATTAACAAAAAGTACAGCAAGTTTGTTACGATGACTGGTAAGTAATGGACTCATAACATGATCATGAATAAAGTTGAGTAGACAAGTAACAGCTTTATTTCCACCTATTCAGGCAAATTTTGGTTTAACACTTGTGCGGAAAAAGGCCCTTCTAACAGACACTTTACAAATTTAACTAATCTATAGGTTGCATCCTTGTTTTTTTCTTAAAAAAAGTACACGCGTGTTAGAAAATTATAGCTAGTATAGGTTGCTTCCTGGTTTTCATAGATGTTGATTGTATGCGAAGAGACTAGGTTGATTAAACAGCTAACTTGCATTGATAATGACTTCAATTAACATCCTGGATGAAGAATAATGAGTGCCCGTTCCGGAACATCGAATCCTAGGCAATGACCTGCCGTCTGATTATCGGGGACATAAGTAACATTTTTCGGAGGTCCGGGGCACAATAGTATGTCTGAAAAATAGTGTAACACAAGCCTAGCTCATTTTTCACATCATATAGTCTCAAAGAAGTCTGCAAGAACGAAACAGTAACTGGTAGTAAGCATTGACAAGTAGATGCATTATCCACACCTTATCTGCAGCTGTGACAACAGATGCAACTCTGCTCCTGTCAAAGTTCTGAAGCCCAGAAATTATCTGCACAGTTCAAGAGCCAGTGGCTATCAGCTAATCATCACTAAGCAAGGATAACTCATCCAAAAAAAAAGTTCCTTCAACTGTCCACTCTGAAGACGGCAGGCAGTACATCCTCAAATTTCTACTCCAGGGAAAGTAACATTTGAAACTTGCGGCATCCTAACAGCATGCGTGTTTGGAACGCATGAATTTCTTAGATTCTTTATTAATCAGAAAAAAAAAACAGTTCAACCTCGTGTTCCAACTTCCGAATGCTGCCTAAACGCTGTCATCAATGGATTGATACGGTGAAGGAGACGTGCAAGGAGATAAACCTTGAGAGCCCTGTTCTCGCGGAAGGCCCTGAGGACGGCGTCCTTGTTGGCAGCGTCAGCGGCCGAGGCGCGCACGGCGAACAGTGCCCGTGGCGCTCGCCGCGCGGATGCCCGGCTCGCCACCGGCTGGCAATTGGCCGCAGCGAAGGACGGGGCGTGGAGAAGTCCCAGGGAGCCTGGCGCTGCCATTCTTGGTCCTGCTGGCTGCTGCTGCTCCTCTACTCCCTCTGCTGGAGATTTTGAGAGTGAAGGCGAAAGAGATAAGATGACACTACACAGAAACGGCACAGTGCGTATATGTCCACTGTATTTATCTTGGACGGTGCAAATATCTGTCTGACACGTAAAAAATCTTGCACGGTTCAGCAGGAAGCCCCTTGGTGTTTACAGTACTCGCAAATTAGTCCTCAGCCGTCAGATAATCACGTTGGTTTCAGTTGAGGTGCTTGATATGGCTGTGGCGTTATTTCACAATTCAGGTCTTGTTTAGGTTGGTGCTAGGAATCAGTATTTGGCACTGTAGCATTTTTGTTTGTATTTGATAATTATTGTCCAATCATAACCTAACTAGGTTTAAAAGATTCGTCTCGTAATTTACAATCAAACTGTGTAATTAGTTATTTTTTTATCTACATTTAATATTCCATACATATGTCTAAAAATTTGATGTGATAAAAAAAGAGTGAAAAAACTTGCAATCTAATCAAGGCCTCACAAGCAAAATGACAAACGCAAATCAACAAGTCAAACTCGATACGCAGTGGACATAGCCCATCATCATGTATTGACCATGGCCCCAAATTTTATTCAGGAAAAATACAGAAGTTTTCAAGTCCAGTGTTGCATTCCGGCGAACACCTTGCCTGCAGCCAGCGCTACTTGCCAATGCCGTTGAGGTGCTCAACGACGGTGATCAGTCCCTGCAAGCTCAAGTCGCCGTCGCCATTGGCCACCATCGCCGAGAACATCTGCCGATACAGCGCGGCTCCAGGCAGCACGTTGGCCTCCTCCCCGCCGTCCCCGACCTCGAGCGCCATGCCGAGGTCCTTGACGATGTACCGCACGCTGCCCCCGGACGCGAACTCGCGGCGGAGCAAGCGTTCGCCGAAGATGTCCATGATGCGCGACCCGGCCGCGCCCTTGGACACGGCGCCGAGGAACAGCGGCGCGTCGAGCCCCGCCGCGCGGGCGAAGGCCACGGACTCGCCGAGGCCCACCACGGCGCCGGCCACCGTGATCTGGTTGGCGATCTTGCTGCTCTGGCCGCTGCCGGGCGCGCCCATGTGGGTCACCTTGCCGAGGTGGGCGAAGAGCGGGTCGAGCCAGGCGACCACGGCCTCGTCGCCGCCGGCGAAGACGGCCAGCGTGCCGTCGCGGGCGCCGACGTCGCCCCCGGATACCGGTGCGTCGACGGCGTGACACCCCGCCGCGCCCGCGCCCGCGGCGACCTCGCGCGCCAGGGACGGGGACGAGCTCGTGCAGTCCACCAGCACCCCGCCGCGGCGGAGGCCCGCGAGCGCCCCCGTGGCGGCGTCCAGGACCACCGCGCGGACGTCGCCGGGGTTCGCGACCATGGTGAACACCACGTCGGACGCGGCGGCCACGGTGCGCGGCGAGTCCGCGAGGCTCGCGCCCGCGGCGACGAGGCCCTCCGCCTTGGACGGCGTGCGAGCGTACGCGGTGACCGCGTACCCGGCCGCGAGGAGGCGCTTGGCCATGGCGCCGCCCATGACGCCGATGCCGATCCACCCCACGCGCGTGAACCCCGGCTGCACTGGCGCCGGGAAACCGAACGCCGCCGGTTCCGACTTCCGTCCCTCCTCCATGATCCCCTCCGGAGCTGCTCGCAAGCTGCCGATTACCCAAAGCCGCCTCGATTTTGGTTGGGCCTCGTTTATATGCTAAAAAATTCGGTAAAATGCTACCGTAGCGGTTTTCGTTGGTATTTGGTAACTAGTGTCAAATCACAGTCTAATTAGGCTTAAAAAGATCCGTCTCGTGGATTTCATCTAAACTGTATAATTAATTTTATTTTTTATTTATATTTAATGCTTCGTGCATGTGTCTAAAGATTCGATGTGACGAAAAATCTTGAAAATTTTGGCAAAATTTTGGGGAACTAAACTGCCCCATGTTGGATTGCAATATGTCCCGCTCTTGCTTTTTTAACGGGACAACGACACAATATGCTATGCATAAACAAACATGAACTCACTGGGTCCCAGTCTCCACGATCGCAATTTCGTGCATCCACAGCATCCAAAACACGTAAATTAAACTAATCAACTCCCGATAGGCATCCCAAATTTTCATTCTTTTCTTTAACAAAAGCAAAAGGTAGGAAATTTACAGGAAGATCATCGAAAGAAGAACCAAAACGATGGCTTTCATTACACGCCGAGGCCGAGCCAAGTAGTGGTGAAGGCAGCTTTGCTCAGAGGTGGCAGCCGCAGCAGAGGAAGAAGCAGGAGAGCGCGAGGCCCAGCACGACGGCCTCGACGACGTACATGACGCGGAACGCGACGGCGTCGACGACGGCCGCCGCGGAGCCGCTGCGCAGGGTGAGGGAGGAGAGCCCCGGGAGGCGCTTCCACCTGAGGGAGCGAGACAGGGACGAGGCGAGCCTGGACGCGCCGGCGGCGGACGGGGCGGCCAGCCTCCAGCGCCGGCTGCTCCGGGGCAGGTGGTAGTCTCTCGGGATGAGCTTCCTCAGCCACCCGCGCGGGCGCGCCGGGCCCGCCGCCGCCTCAGCGGCCGGGGACATGGGCGCCGCCTCAGAAACCGAGCCCGCCGCTGTCGCCGCCGCCGCGTCCGCCTCGATGGCCATTGGACGCCGCTGTGCTGCCGTTGGGAGGGTGTGCGTGCGTGCGTTGTTTTGGCTGGAAAAGATCGGGTGGTGGTTGGTTGGGAAGACGGACGGGGGAGGGACAGAGACGTGGGGGTCGGGAGCGAGGCGACGTGCTGCCGGGAGCGGACGACGAGACGACCGGGGGATATATATGGGGAGGCGACGGGGGAGAGGTTTCTGACACTTTGGCCCCTACGAGTTTTCTGCGTCGTTGCGACGCGCTCCTTGGCTTTGCTTTGCGTACGAGGCAACAGCTAACCAGGGTGCGAATTGCAATTTGCAAACCCTGGCGACGCTTTACAACTGTCGTCTACATACAGCTACAGGTCTGCACCACCAGGGGAATTGAAGGCAGGCTAGCTTTACGGACGGCCAGGGAACGCGAAGCTTGCACCGGACGCCGCGCGGCTGGAGCCGCGCTGGCGGATGATGGCATGGCACGCACAACGGCTCAAAGAGGCTTGCAGCGGAGCAGCCAGGCAGGCTTACCCGGCCGCGGCCAGCCCCGGCCGGCCGCCTGGTTCGACATGCCTGGGTCGGTCGCTTTCCTGTGTAGCTCAGCCGATGGCGATGCCCAGCTGTTCCTGAGTTGCTGTTACTATATTTCTCACGTTCAGACGTGTCGCCTTCTGTTCCTCGCCCATTTGCTTCGCTTCCGCGAGAAGAGTCGCGCTCACGGCTCATTCATTCGTCATAGCAGGTGTCGTGAGAGCCGCGCGTGGAGTCCGCGCAGCCGGAGGCACAGGAGAGAGCGTGCAGACCAGGAATCAGGGCATGTGTGTTCTTGACTCTTGTTGATGTAGCCCAGCCACGACCCACGAGGCTCGCAAGCGAGCCGCTGCACGGCTGAGCGAGCGGAGAGGCTACGCATGCCACAGCTGGCCGCAGACCCAGCGGACGAAAGGAGTTGGTTAACCGGGTAGAGACTACTCCATCCGTCTAAAATGGGCACTTTAAATTTTTCTATTTAAAAATAATAATATTTATAACGTGTAATAAGTATAGTTAAATTAAGGGAGTGACAGCTTTTATGGCATCAAATCTGTCATTTTTTAATAAATTCGACCCAATAGACAGGCGTAGCACAAATCCTAAAGCACAGTCAAACGTATAAAAATCTGATAGATTTATAATACAAAAGGTTGACTACGGGGAGGCAAGTGCAACATGTGCAATCTATCAGCTGGATAAATAGTAAAAGTCTTAAATTAATCATGACATATTTTGTATAATACATTTATTCGGAACTTAGATGTTGACTACGGGGAGGCAAGTGCAACATGTGCAATTCAGCTGGGAAGGGATGGGAGTAGCTACCTGGTCAGGTTCAGCTGGGCCTAGTCGCCCGCTGCTGAGAACGACTCCACTATGCTAGCGATTTTCTAGAAGTCTCTGCTCTCACTCTCTCCTTTTCTCTCAGCTCCATCCGAGAATCCTTTACTCAGATCTTCACCGACTCACATCTCACCGCCATGCAAAGATCATCAAGATCAACAGGAACCTCAACACCGCTGCTGATAGCCTAGTTAGACAGGCATTCTCTACATCTGGTTCCACCTTTAAGCCTGTGTGCTCGTATTTGCATCACAATCACCAGTGCCCACTCTTGGCTGCACTGAACTGTGTACCTTGCAAGCTGTAACCTTTGTTTCGGCTTCTTGCTGTTAATATAAAAAGGTTTCTTGTCAAAAAAAAAAAAAGCAGCTACGGAGTAACCTGTACCGCACCTACGCTGCATTAAACATTCGTACCGTTAGAGTTGGAGCGATGACGAATACTACTGTAGTAATATCGAGTTCACTCCCATCAACAATTTTCGTTCAGCTCCAAGCAGACCCCATTAACATTCGTAGTACCGTTGGAGTTGGAGCGCTGACGATCGAATACTACTGTAGTAATATCGAGTTCACTCCCATCGTGACAACAATTTTCTGAAGAACATGCAAGCACGAGTCCAAAGCCCAGGACAGCTCAGTCTGCATCCAAACTGATCAATCAGGAACAGTTCAAGGTTACAGCTAGCTACAGTTAACTTGTAGTTAAGTATACATGTGGGATAATCGTTGTGAAACTCAAATCTAATAGTATTATAGTATAGTATAGTATAGTATAGTATAGTATAGTATAGTATAGTATAGTATAGTATAGTATAGTATAGTATAGTATAGTATAGTATAGTATAGTATAGTATAGTATAGTATAGTATAGTATAGTATAGTATGATCGCATTCAGATGTGCAGGGCAGGCAGAAACCAGCCCCGGCCCGTGCACCAATAATCATCAGACTAAACTACTAATAATGTTCTAGCCGTTAACAGCTATCCATCTTTATCGGACTATCCATCTCAAGGGCCAGGATTTATTAAAGATATTACCTCCTGAGAAGCAAAGATATTTTTTTTTTTCTCTCTCGATTTAAGTAAAAAAGCTCCTGCATAAGCTAGGCAATTTAAAAGTGACTTTTCAAAAACAAAATGAAAAGAATTTAAAAGTGGAGAAGAGACAAGACAGCACAGAAGGTTGCAGAATTGAGTATTGGCGACTGGCCGGAGGAATCGCGGCGCTTTGAGGCGCACCAATACGGAGATCCCGGCCAGGCGCTATGAATTCGGCCTAACACAAGCAGCAGCACGAACCGCGTCGACCAAGCTTTGCAGCTTCCAATTAGCAAATTTGCTTAACGAAAACCGAATTCGAGGCCAATTCATGCGCATTTTTCTATGCAGGAAGGCAGAGGAGTGCAGGAGCTGGAAATTGTCTCAGTGCAAGCCTGACGGACAAGTGGTTGGGTAACGGACGCAAGGGGGATTCCTGGTTAGGCGTGACCAAGCTACTACTCCCTCGCGAGCGAAAGCGAGGTTGACGCGCGGAAAACGAGCTGCGGAGATCACTTTCTTTCTATACTGCTAGACGTGGAGGAATATATGCCCCCTAGCAAATCCACATCGATTTCCATTTAATTTCTTCATTTCCCATCACGAGTGATGGTCGCAGTCACGTCTTCCTTTGCCAGTGTGTTCATGTCTGCACACACTGCGTATATGGTTCCCTCGCTTCTTTTCGCTCTCTTTAGCGAAGGAATATGTTCTGCTAACCTTCCTCAGATGTTACTACTCCAACAATCAGATCGCATGCATCGGTCTGGAGGGCCTGTTCGGCAGGACTGAAAAATACTGTTCTAACTAATTATTGTAAAAAAAAATAATATTCTGATAGAACGTGAACAGAGCCAGCCAGCTGGCTTAAAGCCAGCCGAACCTGCGCCGGCTGGGCTGGCTGCACGAAAACATGGGCGGCAGAATAACGCGTAGTAGTACGTGCCTGACGTCGACGACTGATCGAACCTGCGAACCCTTGGCAGTGAAGCAGTCCCTGCTTCTGCCCATCAGCCCATGCACGGTGCACCTGCTTCAACAGCTTCACGGACTGAAAGGCAGAACAAAAGCAAAAGATCATTATTCCTTTGTTGGAAGAAGAAAAGAGAGGAAGAATCAGAGAAAAAAATAAGAAAAAGTGGTCTTGAGTCCGAGTGTTCGCTGAGCAAACTGCATTGCTTTTGCTTTTGCTTTTGCTTGTGGGCAAGCGAAAGGTAAGTGGAGGGCCGGGACATCACCGTACCAGTCGTTGCTTCCATCCCTCTCCTGTCGCCTCCGGGTCGCGGGACCTTTCGTCGTTTCCATCCAAAGTGCGGTTTTTTTTTTTTTTTAACACTTTTCTATAAACTAATTTTAAATTTAATATTATTTTTTCTCTCCAAAACTAACACTTTTGCCCGCGCCTATTTTTCTGGCGCGGCGAAACACCTGTGCCGTGCCATGCATGGTGGCGCGGCGAAAGAGATGACGTGGCGACGACCGGAGCACTGACCGGTGACGTGGCAGGGTCTGCTACGCCACCGATCTTGGCGCGGTAGTGACGCACCCTGATCGGTGGCGCGGCAGTCCCAGGTACATATCGCACGCGAGCTGTCCTCCCTCTGTCTGCCTTAACGCGGTGGACGACTTCCGCGCCGCGCCTTCCCGTCACTCCTAAATGCTGTCGACGCCCGGCCCTCCGTTGCCGCCTTCCTCCCTTCCTTCCCTTCCATTCCCTGGCCGCCTCCCTTCCGCCTCGGCCTCGTTTAAGGTAATGACGCACTTTTTATTTTCATTTGAATGGTGGATTGAAATATTATGAATGGGAGTTAATGTTAGGAGGAAAATTATGTTTGAGAACTGTGGGCTATGATTTCGAGGAAGATATTAGTTTGATTTTATCAATGTTAAGGTTAATTATTTAGTTAGAAGTATGTTTACCATATATATTTTTGTTGCTATAAGTGTTGGTTATATTATTTGAGAATGCAAATGATTATATTTTACATTAATTTACGTTGTTTTGATTGATGTTTAATTTGAACCATTTTATTAGATGGAAGACATGTTTCGGGAGTAGTTGTGGCGAAAACGGGGTCGTCCTAGAGAATTGTACCCCAACGAGTCTAGCAAAGATGTCCCTGTTCCTCCTGACCTTCTTGTCCCTAACTGTGACTGTGGTCGTCCAACCGACGTGTTTCAATCGAGACATCCGGACACAGCGGCTTGTTGCCTCTACACATGTAGTCGTTTTAATGTAAGTAATTGTTTTCGTATATTTTTTTTTATTTGTATTACTAGGTTACTAATATTTTGTTGGAATTTTATTGTATAGGCCCATGAGATGTGCCTTTTCTTTCAATGGATCGACGGTGCAGATAAGTTTGACCTCAGGTACCTCATTTTCGATGATTGGTGGAGATGGCGACATCCACGAGAGTACTTCGAGCGGTGGGTTCCACCTCCCCCTAACCCCCTCCAATGATGGGCTAAGGAGAAGCACTTAGCTGCAGTTAGACGACTCGATGAACCTCCTATGTGCGATTACGGAGATCTAGCTGTGATAAACCCTAAGAATACGTTGGAGTTTATGTGTCCAAACAAGCATGAAGTAAGTGCAAAGT